GCTTTCTAGCTTTCGTGGCCCCCAAGATTTCAGCCTTTTAGCTTCTCAGTTACGAACTTACCCGAAAAAAATTTTGGCGGGTTCGTACGCGGGTACCACACTTATCCGGGGGCTGGGTTTGAGTCCACTAATACCCGCTTGGGCAGTGAACATTATCCCAAGATTTCAGCGTTCTAGCTTCTCAGATCCTCGAGTTATGAACTGACCCCGAAAAAACTTTGGCGGGCCCGTACGCGGGTACCACGCGAGTTTTGGCGCCCATTTTGGGGGTTGAGGCGGTACGTGCATGTAGATTAAGTTCCCGGAATTTCAGCCCCGCAGCTTTTATAAGTCCTGAGATGAAAGTGCGTGACAAAAGCACACACAGACACACATATAACCTCTCGTCAATATGCGTTTTTCGCATTGCATTGCTGCAAAAAACTCATAAAAATGAGGGATATTTTTCGACATATTCACGCACTGCGAAGCCGTTGGACAATAGACGAGGTATCGCGAAACAGCATCGACAGCATCAATACGGTTCGAAATTTTTATGACTGGACGATGACTTCGAGGCCCTCGATAATGGTGATGAGCAAATAGGAGGGAGAAGGGCTGTCCGGCAAATTCAGGCGGTCTGCCAGCCACGTCCAAATTAAACTTTGTTAGACTTCTCGCTAAATTCTGGAGCAATATAGCCAGAGAAATGAGTACCGCAGCACATTTCATTTAAATTTATCAATTTTTATTGTGAGTTGTTGGACGAGCAGCCAGTGGTCGAACGGTCGGCCGACAATAAAAGCTGAAAAATTTCTGAGAATTTTCAGAAATTTATTCCTTCAGCATCGAGCTGCACGCCTCAAGTTTATTGGTTCTGATGGCAGGATATACTAAATATCCCAGAGCAGCCGGAACTGGGAACATCGGTCCCAGTGGTGAGCCGAAATACTTTTGGCGGTTGTTGCTTTTCCAATTGTTCCGCTCCCCTTAAGTAGCGGTCGACTGATAATATGTCTATTTGCGTAGAGTACATTTTTACAGATGGTGATGAGGGTGACCTTGTCCCTTCCCTCTTTTTGGAGAGATTGCCGCATAAAGGCGATAGATCCAGACAGATGTTGCTAGTGCTATGCGTTGATTTTTCAGGCCATTTGAGAATGGCAGGCGGCGATCGTATCGAAGTAGGCGAACGGTGGGCGATTGTTAATCAAGGGATAGTCCCATTTTGGGGACAAGGCTCATTTTCTTCCGAGCCCAGGGCACATTTAGCGGTGGACGAGCCCAGGGAAGGTGTCGGTGCCGGTTGCCGCGGAGGAAGCGGTGGACAACTTGGAGTTAAAGAAGATTCAGCGACAACCAGACAATCGGACGGTATTCGAAGTAAGCAGGCCGCATTGGATATTTTGGATTTGAGGCTGCCCATCCCGCTGCACATGCTTTCACATTTTCTTGAATTGTTCAGTTGTATCACACTCTGCTTTTCCTTTTTGGCTCACCGGCCAAAATTAGTCAGGTGCGTTCTGTGCTTGCTTCTTGTGCAAGTTCTCAGAGGGGGAATCGTCCTACCGATATCCTCGTTAGCAAATGACAGCTACCGGCGAAACCTCTTTTCAGTCAGGCCAGTTCCGGACGCCTTCAGGCCCCTCGCAGAGAGCGATGTGTTATCCTGGATCCTGAATTATCAGTCTAAGTGAGGCCAGAGTTAAAATTTCGTTGGATGCCAGGGACATCCGAAATCCAAACACTGGACATAGAATCTAGTTTGGAGGGTTAAAATGCCTGATAAAATAGAAGTGAGGAGGAGAGGCGAAATGAGGACTCCAAGAGCAGCAGGATAAATAATATGAAGCTTGTACAAACACCTTAGCTGTTTTTTAATGCTATTTCACGCGTTTCATCGTGGCTGATTAACTGATAAGGAATTTCCTGCTTCTTCTTTGTAATTCGACCGCATAATAGTGCTAAATATTTTTCCAGATGAATCCGTTAAACAACTGTGTAACTACTCAGCCGAAGTTTCTTCCATCCGCCCAAAATTTGCGAACGCAGGGAACATCAACGATGGACCAACGGCAGATGATCATGCCATTCATGCTGAGTCAAAATGTGAGGCCGTCCGACCCGACGCAGTGAAAATTAGCGTTGAACTGTCTTTCATGCAAAAGGGAAGCAGCACGGCCATTGAGGTGCAGCAGAAGAACAGTGCTCAAGTGAATGCCGCTCGTGATAATAATGAAGCGGTTTCGCCGCTTCCTGCAGCTGCTGACGATGTTGAGGCGGTGGAGCGACAGTACATTAATGCAATGGTTAAAGGACGCCGAGTCTTCAAGGAGCTTACTGAAAAAATCGAAGTGATCAATGATTATCTGAATAAAATCGAAGCGAAGTAAGTATATTTTTGAGAAAAATGAGGAATAACAGTCCGATCTGTCTCCTCTATTTCTTTTCCGCTCGTCCTCTTACGCGCCTCGTCAAGGAGACTGAAGTGTTTAGTTTAAATACTGTAATCTGAAGAACAATTCGTCCAGCAGACACTGATGGACAAACCTTAAGACAAAACCACCCCACCGACATTTGAAAACAGTATAAACAACCTACTGGACCACCCTCCAGCCTTTTTCCTGCAGCAGTGTACGGTCAGGATCTGTTGAATATAAGACTGCCTGCCTCGAAGAAACGGTCTGCGAATGCGATTTTGCTGGGAAGAATTCAAATGTCAGACACAGCTGCCTGGTTCAGGCCCGTTCATCCTGAGCTGCACGCCTCCAGCTAGCACTTGTTGCTACTTCAACTTCTTTTCACTTTTTCTCCGGAGGCAGGCTTGGTGGTTGCCAGATGTACCGCTCACTGATAAAACGGTTGTCAGCATGTCGACCAACATATCCCTGCCCTTTCCACTTTATTATCTCACCTGACGGACAGCTAAATAGTAGCAAAGAAACATTCTAGAGAATTCAGGGCACAGCAGCACTTTGGTGGCACCAGTTACCCGTCCTATCGTGCATTAGTACCAATTTGCCGTCACTGTGAAACAGTGACAGCAAATTGGTACTAATGCACAATAGGACGGGTAACTGGTGCCACCAAAGTGCTGCTGTGCCCTGAATTCCCTAGAATGAGGATTGAATGGCATATCACCAAGGCGCACAGTATCAAAGGCTAACGGTGAAAAACGTCCCTGAGGCAGGCCTTCCATCACCAACCAAGCTAGTGCCCCAGTGTAACGGCCCTAGTTTGCAGCTGTAGGTGGAAGCTGCAGTAAAAGCTCCCTCTCTGGGGTTAGGTACGTAGGTAAATGGACGCAATCGCAGGCAGGTGTTTGGCCTCTTATCCGACCTACTGTACCGCTCGTTTAACACGATACGAAAAATATTAATTTTAATCCTATATTTATTGGTGCTCCTCGAACCCTTAACCCGAGGCGCTTATGTAACGTAGGCGATACTAGCGTCTTCTCCAATAACCCTTCCTAACAGGTCCAGAGCTTTAACAAGGTTGGAGAGGCTAATCAGGCCTGTGCCACATTAGTAAAGTATAAGGTGATAAATGCAGGGAGAAATTTAAAAAAAATTAAGGTTAGAATTGATAGTCTGTTTTCTACAGTGTCCTCGCGCTTCACTTTGTTAAGCATACTGTTTTGCACAAGAGCGCAGTTTGTCTGTAACCAGATTGTAGCAATCACGTTGACCCTGGAAGCCTAAATAGCGAAGACGCAACAGATTACAGCATGAGAAAACAGTTTGAGAGAAGGAGATAAGAGTGAGATAAGACGTTTCGGTTCATTAAGTTATATACGCCTTAAAACTCAACATCTTAACAGGACCTGTAAATTAACAAGTAAATGGCAGTCTGTTGCAGACTAGCGGAGGAATTGCCGAAACTGGCTTCAATCAGAAAGCCTCAGCAGTGGGATCTTGACAACGCAACAACCGCATGCAGGATGAGTTCGAGCCTTCCGTTGTTTGGTGGCACACAGACTCTGCCTTGTGTCGGTATTGGTGTCATGTCCGGAGATGATCGGCGAGTTCAGGATCGTAGCCGTACTGTTTTCACAGTTAATGAAGTACGGGAACGGAATCCTGTCAGTGCAATTGTTATGCCAGGAAGCGAAAGGGGTCGAATTCATGGCCTTGAGAATATGACCGGGCCAAAAGGCGGTGGCCAACGTAGTAATACCGGTTTTCGGCGTGCTGACGATGAAGGACAAACTCGTTACCGTAGTAGTAGTAATAGTAGAATGCAGGCTGGTCATGAAGGAACAGGCCGGGATCGTGCAGTGCAAGCAGGTAAGAAAAGAGAAGCCGAGGAAAGTGTCGGCGCTACGTCGATTGCTGAGGGTTCGAAAACAGTCTGCCCTCGACGATCTGATGGATCCTGGTCGAACAGAGCATGTGGACCGCGGGCGAGGTCTCATTCCCGTTCTCCGGTCCAAATGGGCAGGAATGAGCCATGTAGTGTCACCAAAGAACACTTTAAGTAACTGCACACGGAGAAGCTGGGTAAACAGAGATACGCTTTTCCGTGCAAGATACTTTTATTTGTTCGCTATATTGCTATAAATGATTCTTTTAATAAAAATTTTTATTTTCTGTGACTTTCAAAAGAAGTACTTATTGGTTTTTGTCAGAGCAAAAACACATTTATCTTCACCTTCACAAGTTTCAAACGGCGGAACGAGGAAGGCAGGGTGCCGGGGAAGAAGGGAGGAAGGGCGGAGGGGGAAGGGGGGAAGGAGGACACGAAAGCTGCTCTCGTCTTCCGTTCCAGGCTAATGCGTGATAACTCAAGACCGGGTGAGTAACAAATCCTAAGTATGCGTGATGAAGGAATGGATGATCTGAAATCAGTCTGCAGACCATTCTGTTTTCTCGGCTGTAGCCCCAGGCATGTTTTTAAAGCTGCTGCTACATCAAATAAATCACCGTGGCGAAGTAGAGAGGCCCTCAGCTATGAACAGTCCTGTGTAAAAACTTGGGACGCTGATGCATCCAGCCAGTGCTATTCGCACCTTCCGCTGATCGCGTAAAAAGCTTCGCTATACAGCCGTGAAAGATATCTCAGGCCGGTTTAGAAGCCCAGTGAATCCTGCCGTATTTGGGCGTAGCAGATCCACATGTCAGGAATGTGCCTGCGATCCTTACTGTCAGTGACCCTGGGCTCCCGGGATGCGCCGGCGCTACGCAGTGAGTCTCTTCGGACCTCATGTGTACTTAAAGTACATGCAGTGACCGTTGTGCAGCTGAGGCTCAGCGCTAAATTTATAGAATACGACAGAAAACAAAGACAAAATACGAGCACAAGAGAGATGAACACCTGGTAAACCGCAACTTACTAGCATAAAAAGAATGGAAATTGAGATTATAGACTATTCGGCTTGGTCGGATTGGGAGAGGGGGGCGGAGGGAGGTTGGCGAGCTGTAAGTTTTTAGGAGGGGTGGCGAGGTAGAGGTGCGTGGAAGGGGGCAAAAATGGGCGATTTTCGTTTAGGTCGTAGGGATCATAGCAGCCGGAAAAGGAGGAGGGGGAAGGAGGGAAAGGGGCTAAGATATTGACTGGAAAAAAGATTAAACTTTACTTAGGGGCAAAGACTGGAAACACGGATGGGGATTCAGAGCGGATAAGAGGGGAGAGAAGAAATCCGGTACTTTTGAACGGCTTCGCCTTCCGTAACTCTAACCCAGAACCACAAATCAGTGCATTTTGCGCAGCAGAGCCAACTTTTAGTAACTGCCAAATAATATCGGCAAATAAAGAAAAAGAAAACATTCTAGTGTAAATACGATAAATAGATGTTACATATTCAATTGAAAAAATGAGTTTCTGTGACGAATTAATGGGCGGCACAAGGAAGAAAGACTGATTTTTCCAGGAAGGCAGTGAACACAAGCACAATATTTTGAGGCGATGGACCCTCTGTGGAAACAGGAGACGAGCGGGGAAGGTAGATCGAAGCAAACGGGAGTAAAATAACCACTTGCTACAAAGACATGAGAATATCCATGGGAGAGTTGCGAAAAATCCCAGCTTAAAACAGTGGAAAATTGAAATTCAGGGATTTGTAAAAAAAAAAGAAAGCAACAAAGCGAGAGAAGGCGATTAATTTGGGAGAGCTGCGCGATGAATCCCGGAAACGCTAAGCATCCACGATATTGAATGCTTCATTCAAAAGCCGTTTTACCTCTTGGAGCAAGCAAAACAGACCACTGTCCCTGCACTGCTGCTTTCTGCTACTCAGACGTCCCGCATAGTCCATCGACGTAAGAACTGCAACGCACACGGACAGTGCGAATAAGGCCAATCTGAAGTGCCAAGCAAAATCAGAACCACAGATGTGTAGCGAAAAGAAATCGGTAAACGTGGAGAAGCAGCGGAAAAGTAGGACAAGACAGAGGGCACCAGAAGCTTGAAATGCTAAGGTAGCAAATGCAGCGCGAAAACGTCCCTAAGACATTCCTGGAAAAATTTGCAAAGTGACCATTATGTTAGATAACGATGATAAAAAAAAGCCAAAACCCAAAACGATAATGCTCAAAACAATAATAGCCTAAAGTGAATTTTCATCAAAAAAAAAAATCGCAGAGATACAGCCTTTCATTCCTGCTTTCCGTCCACTGGTCAGTGGTCACTACTGCCCGTGTCTGACTTTGTCTCAGTAGATGTCTCGTCTTTTGAATCCGAAATTTCGCCGGGACTGCCCGAATCAGGTCTCTCATTCTCATCAGCGCCCATTTCTCCGCGTCTGAAAAACGGAAGCTGCTCCTGCGATCTTACTCGAAGAAAGGTGTTCGGTTCTCTTAATTTCTTCGAGCACGGTGACAACATTGAGTCACTTGGAGAGCTAACCTGAAAAAAAAAACAGTTCGCTTGTGAAGAGAATGCAACCGGAGCCTCATTCCAATTCAGCTCTATGCTACTCATAACAAATATCACGAAAAAAAAACAAAGGCTGGAATGCACCAGGTGAGCCGGTGCGATCATGCGTTTTTGCATCAAAACT